CACGATCACGAACACGAATACCATGCGTACGAGGGCGATTAAAATAAACAAATTGTCCTACCGAGATCTACAGTTATAGACTGTATTGCTATTATTAACCTTATTATCATATACAATAACAGATAACTGAGCAGCTCTCTCAAATACGTTACATTTACCGAAGCTATTCACGGCAGCTTTTGTTGAAGACATCAGCAACTTTACGTAGAAATTAGCCCAAAAGACGATTGCGTAAACAATAGATAGCATAATAACATTATAAACAAAAAACACAGGATTTTGGATAATGTATTTCTTAAAAAATAATACCCATACAACTACAATGTAAACAAACATTAGATTCACCTTTCTGATCGTGAAATTAATACCATTCACACTGTTATCGTAGCTACGTTCCTTGGGATCAAGTGAATTCAACAGGGCGTCTTTCTTCACAAGCAGTTTGCATCCATCAGATTTTTGTTCTTCAGTCCCACGATAGTATTATTGTTCAATAGATTGCATAGAGTATATGCAGTTTGGTTTTAGATTTAAGATTTTGCTTTTTTCAACAAGTGTACGTTTTTCAACTAAGACATTGGCATACTTGGCGCACAAGGCATACAAGGCATACAAGGCTTTCATGGCTTTCAACCTTTCTCGACTCAATCCGTTCCAAAAATACCGCTCAATAACATCTTTTGGTGTGGATTGGCCGCGAACAATACGGCTTGTGTATGCGTCTGTAAGTATTTTGAGCGTTTGCACCATAAATCTCCAGGTAATCGTAAACCAAAAACATAGAACCTCCATTGCCAAAATAACAACCCCAGAACAAATACAAAATGGCTGGAAAAAGAGTTTTATAAGCAAAAATATCGTGGCTCGTCATGTGACCCGGCCTTGCGCGTGCATGACAACGTCAATCATCATAAAGATAACACATGTGATCAGCATGTAAACACCTTCACCTTCAGTTAGTTGTCATGGTGTTGAGGGCCAAATAACCACTAGGTATTATTGCTCAATTTTTCCATTTTGTGGCGAAGGAAAAAAAAAAAAGACAACAAAAAAACAAAGACGTTTTAGGACTTGGCTACCATAGGTATCCCAGTAATTACAAAACGTGAAAACTTCGCCGCACGTAGTATAACTAACGCTAAGAAATACGATCATGTAACGCCTGCTTTGAAACGGTTGAACTGGCTCCCAGTGCGTCAGATGCTAAGATTAAGAGATGATGCTATGGCTTTTAAGTGCCTTAAAGATTTAGCTCCATCGTACTTGAGCGACAGATTTATCATAAGATCAGACACCCACGGCCGCAACACTAGAAATAAGAATCTGTTACAGAATCCGAAGTGCTGCTCATCTGCAGGTCAGCGCAGTTTCTTGTATAGAGCAGTTACAGTGTGGAACAATTTACCCGAGAGCGTTGGATGTATTGACTCATTTTCAAGTTTTAAAATAGTTTTAAAGAATTTTTTTCAGGGAGTACTGATATAGTTTTTAGATATAATTATCATATGCATTATGATGTCAGCATAATTCTTTTTTATTCTTTCAATGTCGTTTTTTACATTGTAAAAAAATTCTGAAAAGCTTCCAAAGAAGAATTTAATGAAGTATATATAAAATCTCACAGGTTGAACCAGTACGTGGTCACCCAGCAAGGTGCGACAAACCTTTGAGAGTTACTCTTCTGGCCAGTGAGTGGAATTCATCAAGGGAGGGTTTGTCCACCATCAACAGACACCTTGCCATCCTTATGGCCAAACGTAGCGAAGTGAAAGTCACTCTCTTGGTCCCAAAATTTGCTTGTTCTGAAGAAGAGAAGAGAGCTGCAGAAATTGACAAGATTGTCATCAGAGAAGCAGAGATACGTGAAGGCGTCGACCCTCTTGACTGGTTGAGCTCGCCTCCGGAAGACCTGAAAATTGACGTGGTAATGGGTCATGGAGCCAAGTTAGGTGAGCAAGCCCAAAGCATCAGGGCGTCCCATAGTTGCCTATGGGTACAAGTGGTGCATACTGCGCATGAAGAGGAGAAAATTGCCAGAGGAAAAGAGAAGACTACAGCCGAGTTAGATTTGTGTAAATTGGCAAATCTAGTTGTAGCTATAGGACCCAAGTTGACGGAGGCCTATGAGAAGCAGCAACGTATCATAACGTTAACTCCGGGAACATTCAAGGAGTTTTCTACTATAAATCATAGTGACTCTGGAAATTTTACGGTGTTGACCTTTGGTCGTGGTGACCCTGAGGACTGCGGTCTTAAAGGGTATGATATCGCCGCTAAAGCAGTAGTTGAACTGAGAGAGCAGTCCTACCATTTAATCTTTGTAAGTGCACCTGATGACAATCAGGAGGCAGTCAAAGAACGTCTGCTGCAGAGTGGTATTTGTAATCTTCAGCTGACAATTTTAAATTTCTCCTTGCTTTGCAAGGAGAAATTAAAAGATTGTTTCCGTGAAGTTGATCTCTGTATTATGCCATACCAGACGGAAGGGTTCGGCTTAACTGCGTTGACGGCCTTGTCAGCTGGTCTTCCCTTTCTTGTAAGTGGAAACTCGGGTTTTGGAGACGCACTGCGCACTGTACCATTCGGCGCATATTTTGTGGTTGATTCTGAGGACCCCAAAGTGTGGGCTGAGGCAATTGATGGCGTCAGCAAGAAGAAGAGATCACTGCGTCTTAAAGAGATTGAACAACTGAGGACATCATATGAAGAACAGTTCAGCTGGGAGAAACAATGTGACCTTCTTGTCGATAGGATGTGGGAAGAAGTTTATTGCGCAGGTATGTTGATGATTTTTATATTTCTTTCCTTAGACTTGTCTTTTGTTGTGGTATTCCAATTTTTTTTCCTGATATTAATGTGAATACATCTAGGACCTCGAAATAGGTTTCTAAAACATGGTATGAAAGAGATTTTTAAATGTTTGTGTATGTCATCAATGTTCGCCAAAAAGGAAACAATATGTACAAAATGATAAGAGTGAGTGATGAGATAGGAGAAAGCAAAAGAAAAAGAAACCTCTAAGAACCCTTTTATCCATCCCAAGTTTTTTCGTAAAGAAGTAAAGAAAGATGAAAGTCTTTTCGAAAAAGACATCTTTCTTTACTTCGCTCAAAACTTACTATCTTTCAATCTATTTACAAACATGGCGTTATCGACTTTGCCGATCCTAGCTTTATACAGGACGCGTTTCATATGAACTTCGTAAAAGACCTCGCTCACCGTAGTCTCTGTGGCTCAGCAGTAGAGCGTCGGAGCGCGGAATCGGAAGGTCTGAGGTTCGATTCCTCATGGGGACTCAGAATTTTTGCTTTGTCCCACGCTCGTGACAAGGCGAAAAAACATCTCTATCTATAGTTATTTTATTATGAAAAAGAGAATGTTAACCGGCAAGTCTAGACTATTACCCGCGACTTTCTATTCCAATAATGTTTATTGTTCTCGAATCAGAAGACAGTGTTTGGTCAATAGATAAAGTTATTGGCCTTTCTCCCGAAGGACCTGGCGGAGAACTCCTCGCCTTACTTTTTAAGTCTTCCCTTGTAGCTTAAAGAAGAGCCTGTTTCTATCAGTGAATATTTTGGATCAATTTTTGTTCTCATGAAATATTTTCCGATACATGATCCTGCTTCTAAGGAAGGATCTCGTTCATTTGAGGGTAGCGCTTTCCATAAAACGAAATCTGAGTACTCGATTGGATAAGTGTCACTCTTAGCCCTTATTTTGGCGGATATTAGTTCAATAGCAGTGAACTCGGAGACGAGCAAGATCATAAACAAGTTTCACGCAGCTTGCAATGACGATACCGGAAGAGTTTCGAGTGGGTCAAAAAAATATTCACGTTAAACTGAAACTTTTGTCTTTAATGTGACGGATGTTTTTTCTCCGTCATAACTGAAACCTTTTCTTCCATCTACATTGTTTGGTTCAAGGTAATACACCTTAAATTATTTTGCTTCTAGGGCTGCTTAAGCAATCTCTCCAGCGGATACTATCCCAATTGGTCATCAACAACAACACCTTGACAGAGGAGTTAACGACGTCGGTATTAGATATGGGCTTCAGAATTTCTGACAATATAGGGTCAGGAAACTCTATGTTCCATGCCTTGTCAGAACAACTAGAAACCGTCAGAGGAATCAAGATCCAACATGGCCAGTTGAGACAGTCTTTAGTTCAGTACCTCAGGAAAAACCCAAAAATAGTGAGTTGCTGTTATGCTCATAAGTAAAAAGAAATAGAGGTTGATCTGTAGGTTTGGTTTCTGTGTTATTTCTCCCTCTCTTACATGAAGTGCTACTCGTCCCTGCTGGGACACTAGTCTCTTTGACAACAGATATCTTCAAGCTTTCTTTTCATGTTGGCGTGACAATTTTTCCACTCGTGGAGAAAGGCACTTTGACATTGGGGTGTCTCTTCCTAGAGTTATATAAGATTGTGTCGAAAGCTCTCATCGTGGATTTCAGTGCCTTACGTACGGCAACGTAGTTCCTGCTCACATTCTCATCTAATTCAAATGGACCCCTGGTAGAGTGTTATACTTAGTTACGTAAGTCGCATGCATTGAAAAATATTCCTCTCAGAATCAGTTAGCTACCGTCAATTTATCTCGGCTCTGAATAAGGCGACTATTCAACACATCAACAAAAAAACATGTCTTTTGAAGACCTTACCAGTCGAAATGATATTCGTCTTACATAGAATGTTTTGGTTTTCTCTCTTTAGGGACTTAGTTGACATTAACTCGCTTGGTTGCTTTTGTTTAAATAACCTTTCTTAGAAGTGTAATGGTGCCTATGAACGGCTAAACGTTTAATTGCGATAGGTTTAAGGCTAGTCTTCCTGTCACCGAACGAGCTCACGATCATGTTGAGACGCAACTGCCGCTGCCCATTTAGATTCTTGTCGTGTGACACCTACGTGATGTTCGTTTTAGCTTTTGCCGTTTGCCCACCGCGTCGAAAGCGTTAAAACAATATCAGAGATAAAGAAGTTGATCTTTGGTGAAGATTTCCTTGAACTGTGCTCGGCCCTGTTCAAAAGCTATTTGGAATTCAAGTGTTAATTACTGTCTCTTCTTACAGCCGGATGGAACAGATCTGTATCAATTTGTCGCTGGCTATGAAACATGGGCTGATTACCTAACAGTCATGAAACAAGATGGCGCTTGGGGTGATCACCTCATTCTCTGGGCAGCAGCGAATTGTTTTAAAACGTGCATTCATGTGGTCAACAATCGATGCAATGATGTAGTCATTAGGCCATGTGGTCCTTTTGACGAAAGCGAACCACTAGTACTGGGACATGTTCATGAGCAATACTATATCAGTATTCAACCCATACAAGGTGAGAGTGGAAAAGCACAGTACACGTGCTTTTCAAATTGAAAATGATGAAGATCAATTAACATCCGTAGCGAAATTCGAAAACCTTGTGTTCTCCTGCGTAAAGCACCACCTGCGTCGAACGGTTAACTCTTCTCGAATGACTAAGATGGTTAGTCAGTTGATCTTTCTTAGAGATAACTATGAGAATGAACACTTCCCCGCTGGAAAAACACACTTGTGTCTTCAGTGACTTTAAATGTACCATTGCTATCGTTTCACGAGTCCTGCATAATCATAAAATAAACTACATACTATTCCTTAGTATTTCGTTTTCTTGTTTTGCATTCCTTGGTGGATTTTAGAAATTATAGCAGTTTTACTTAAAGTCTGTTTGAAATGATGGCAACTGAAGAAAACGTCTGGAAAGCGAATAATGAATTAATTTATCCGATTTTTAAGTTATATATATGTTGTTTGCCGCCGGGAGGTCCGTATGGTGAAAAACTGTGACCGAGGTCACAGTCTGTTACCATACGGACTGACCTTTAGCTAGTAAATAGCATTATTTGTTTTTTAAAAAACTTAACGAAATTCTTTTCGAAAGAATCCGAATGATTTAGGGGCTGTAAATACGGCAAGATCTTCCATAAACTGGACAATTTTTGAGCGAGTAAATGGTAGTTAAAGTAGAGGTGATGCAAATTAAAGAGAGAGGCTTCACCAAAACATTTTCATTTGCGTAATGATAGAGGTGATTTAAAAGGCCTCCAAAAAAACTTTGAAACATTATTTTTACAATTATCTGTCACAATCTGACACTTGTCAATTAGATAGCTAATACTAAATTCGAGTGATACACTCCAACGAGACACAGGGAGGTTTAATGCGGCCTTTTCTCCTTGAATTCCTTTAGTTTCTGTTGTGCAATTTATGGTACAAATGTCCAAATTGAACGGACTCGGAAAGACTCGCCGAGAGCATATATTTGTTGTAGAACTGAAATTAAAACTTCGCTCGCTCTTTCACTACGAACAAATTGTTTGAGAAAATTCAGATATTAGAGGAAGGAAAGTTTCATCGATTAGTTCAACTGTGACCAAATACCTCACGTTTTACCTTTCTATGTACTTTTTGTCAACGATTAACATTTATTGCAGACGGTTTTTCGGCCGCTCGTCAACCAACGTAATGACACTATTGCTTACACAAATTCATTCTGAAACCAATATCTTTCTTTTAACCAAAGAGATTTGAGAGAGAGAGAGAGAGAGAGAGAGAGAGAGAGAGAGAGAGAGAGAGAGAGAGAGAGAGAGAGAGAGAGAGAGAGAGAGAGAAAGAGAAGAGAGGATTAATAAGTTATTTATCGGCTTGAGGTAGTGACCGACGCCTTTGCTTAAAAATACTGCCCAGCCGGAAAAAAACCAGATATATTTATAAAAAATGGGAACGAAAGCAGGGATGTAGTCGGCGACTCATGAAAGCGTTACCGTTGCGCGTGGGCAGAGATAGGAAAATACGCAACGCGTAAAGAACCAGTCAGATTGCAAGATTCGTTACCGTTCCCTCTGAAAAAAAAATGAAGATATCCTTATTGGACTGTCTTCTAAAGGACCAGACTGAGAGCTCCAGTCTTTCCTTATAGCTGGAAGAAGAGCCTGGTCCTTTCAGTGAAGATTTTGGATCAATTTGTATTCTCGTGAAATTTTTCCCATACATGACCCTGCTAATAAGGAAAGACTTCGTTCATTTGAGAGTAGATTCCTCCATAAAAACGAATTCAGAGTACCCGATTGGATAACTGTCCCCCTCAGCCCTGATTTGGGTAGATATTACTTTACTAGCAATGAGTTCAGGCTGAACCAGATCATATTCAAGTTTCCCGCAGCTTTCAGTGTTGACACCGGAAGAGCTCTCAGTGGGTTAAAAATTATTCACGGTAAATATAAAATTAGGTCTCTAATGCGATGAATTTTTTTTCTCCGTCATAGCTGAAACTTTCTCTTCCATTTACACTGTATGATTCAAGGAAATACACCTAAAATTATTTTGCTTCTAGGGCTGCCTGAGCGAACCCTCCAGAATCTTCAGCGTATTCAACTCAGCGTGAGCACGGCGAACAACCACACTACCTTGACTGAGAAGTTCACGAAGATTGCATCAGATAAGGGCTATAGAATTTCTGACAATCAAGGGTCAGGAAACTGCATGTTCCATGCCTTGTCAGAACAACTAGAAACTGTCAAAGGAAAAAAAAACCAACATGGGACGTTGAGACAGTCTTTGGTTCAGTACCTCAGGGATAACTCAGAACTGGTGAGTTGCAGTAATTCTCATAAGTAAAAAGAACTAGAGGTTAATTAGTAGTTTGGGCTACTGTGTTTATTTCACTCCCCGTTACATGAGGTGCTAATCGTCCTTTCTGGAACACTAGTCCCTTTCACACCAGATATCTTCAAGCATCTTTTCAAGTTGGCGTGACAATTTTTCCACAATTTGTCCACTCGTGGAGAGCGGCACTCTGACAGTGAGGTGTCTTCTCCTAGAGATCGATAAGAGAGTCACTCTATGTAGGATTGTGTCAAAAGCTCCTATCGTGGATTTTAGCGCCTCGAGCCTAGGTAGGCGACGTAGTCTCTGCTCACATTGTCATCTAATTAAAATGGAGTTTCTGGTCGAGTGTTGTACTTAGTATGTAAGTCGCACGCTGAGAAAAATATTTCCTTCGGAATAAATTCAGAATCAATGAGCTACTGCAGTTTAGCTCGGCTCTGAATGAGGCGAACATGTTTTTTGAAAACCTTCTAACCAGTCTTAACGATATTCTTCTTACACAGAATGTTTTGGTTTTCTATATTTAAGGACTTAGTTGACATTTCACTCGCATGGTCGCATTTGTTTAAAGTCTCATTTCCTAGAAATGTAATGGTACCTATGAACGGCTAAACGTTTAATTGCAATAGGTTCATGGCGAGTCTGTCTGTCACCGAATGGGTTCACGATCATGTTGAGACACAACTGCCGCTGCCCATAGCCCACTGCGTTGAAAGCGTTAAAAAAGTTATCACTGACGTTTCCACTGTAAAGAAGTTGACTTCTTGTGAAGATTTCCTTGAATTGTGTCGGTCTTATTCCAAAAGCTATTTGGAATTCAAGTACTAATTGCTGTCTCTTCTTACAGCCGGATGGAACAGATCTTTTTCACTTTGTCGATGGCCATGAAACATGGCCTGATTACTTAACATACATGGAACAAGATGGCTCTTGGGGTGATCACCTCATTCTCTATGCAGCGGCAAATCTTTTTAAAACGTGCATTCATGTGGTCAGCAGTCTAGACAATGATGTAGACATCAGGCCACATGGTCCTGTTGATGAAAGCAAGCCACTAGTACTGGGACATATTCATGATGTACACTATGTCAGTCTTCAACCCATATAAGGTAAGAAGGGTAAAGCGCACGTCACATGCCTTTCAATTTGATACTGATGAAGATCAATTAACATCAGTAGTGAAATTCGAAAACCTTATGTTTCCTGCGGAAAGCACCAGCTGCGTCAAAGGGTTAATCCTGAAACTGTTAACGCTTCTCGAGTGACTGCCATGGTTGGTTAGTTGATCTTTCTCAGAGAATGAATTAAGCTGTCCACTTTACTTCTGGCAAAACACACCAGTGTCTTTAGTGAGTTGAAATGTACCATTGCTACCGTTTCACGAGTCGTGCATAATCATAGAATAAGCTACAAACTATACCTCCATTTTTTTTGTTTTCTTCTTTTATATTCCCAGTGGTTTTTAGAAATTATAGCGGATTTACTTGAAGTGATCTTTTACAGTTTGTTTGAGAAGATGGCAACTGAAGAAAACGTCTGTAAAGCGAATGATTTATTCATTCATCTGGTTCTTAAATTACATTAAGATGTGCTATTTTTATTGAAACAAAAGTCGCTTGGTGGGAGAACATTGTAAAGCATACAAGCTTAAGTCAGAGATATTCACGAAACACACTTGCCGAATGTACCTGAGAACCAGGGAAGGTATTTTTGTGAGAACACTTGCTTCTTACCATTGTGGTTGGGTTATATCCAGGACCTTGCTTATCATGTCGGCTGAGTTTTTCGCTGATTCGCGCCTTTTCTTTCAGCGTTTTTCTTCAGGTTCTCCATGCTTTTTATTTATTAATTAAATTAACATTCCGAATTCCAATCGCTATGCGGAGAACCATACCCTAGGAAATGTGAAATTTTTGTTCATTAATTTTGGTTTGTTTTCTTGTTGCATTTACAGGCTGAAATAAAATTTTTCGGCGCCTATGGCTACAGACCAGGAAACAATCAGGAAGAAAGAGAAGGCAACCAGAGAAAACTGCGAAATTTTAGGAACTTCTCTCACGAAACTCTGTTTTTAGCTGAAAAAGTAAGCTTTAGATGAAACATAGTTTTTTAGAGGTCGCAGGCTTTTCGGTTTGGATGAGCCTAAGTCATTAAATTGCTACTGGGTTTTAGTGGTTTGATTGAAATTTGATATGGAATAATTCTTTACTGAGTGTAGAAAGTAATCCCGTATTGCTTTGGTTTTCTTTATTTCAGTCTTTTATTGGTCTGGAAACTCCCACAATGTGTGAAAAAAATTAGACGCCAAACGAAAAAGAATCGTGACCGATCGTTTTACCCAATTTTAGTAGTTGGCCTGTATTTCCTTGAAAACCTAATTTGATAGTAACGATGTAAAAGTTCGTTATTATTGGCTGTTGTAATTACTTTGGTTTTTGCCGGCCAATTGAAAATTGCTCCAAAAAATAACGAATTGCGTATCTTTGTTCAGCAATTATGGAACATCACTCATCCAGGATATTCTTATATCTTGTTGGTGCCATTGTACTTTGGTGCCGCCGATGTGTGTTGACTTTTATTACAAGCTGAACTTGACGGTTTGCTTTACATTGTAGTGCTTAAAGTGACTCATAGAATTTATTTTTTGCTTATGATTATAAAAGGAGAACTAAGCTAATTTGCATAGATAATACATGAGAAATATAAAATAGGAAAAGGAAAAGGCGAGGAAGTCTGAAGAAGCCATGAAGGCTTATTGGTGAGGCTCCCTCCTGAAATTAGAGTTTAAGTTTAACTAGAATGTAGAACGTAATTTAACAAGTGTAAAGTACGAATTACGGAAGACGTGGAACGCAGTACCATGGTGGTTGTCGATCACTTTTGCTATCAGCCTTGGAAAATAACTCCAGCGCCCTGAGGAACCTTTCAAACTCCTCACCATGAGAGACTCAAGGGAGGCAATGCTATCATAAGTATGATGTTTGAGTCTACTGCCATAATACTCTGTTAAAGGCCTGTTATTATTTACTCAATTTACTTACTTATAAGGCGATTCCTTTTAAAATTTGCTGATGTAGTTTGCCATTTAGAATTCAGCTCCACTGGTGATTGAGTGTTTTTTCACAAGTGTGTCTCTTGCAATTGAAACACGTTATAAGAATATGCCAGTTATGGCTGTTTGGCGAAGGCATTGGAAGAGACATGTCTCAGTGGCATTTTTAAATGCGATTCCACTAGCTCTGTGGTTCAGCGGTAACTATTTAGATGCTATATATTATCAGTTTAGTAAGGATCTGCCACCCATATCAGATCTTCCCAGCAAAATCCCCTTTTCTTGAAATCGGAGATGTTTGACAACTGAGTTTAGGACTACGTGGTAAGCTGCTAAGTATCCAACGTAGGCTTTTAGTTAGATGCGTTAAAGGATTTGAATGAAAATTTCAGATCGTTAATTCATCCCTTATCAAATAAAAATTTAATCGACCTTTGTCTTCATATACATTTGTAAAAGCAA